AACGTGCAAGCCTATCTTCATTTCTAGCACTGTATGATTGTCTCAAACTTAAATGGGTTTCTGTATCATTTCCTTGCATTTGCTTTTCTGTGTCTTTCTTTATCTTTCTTTGTTGTTCTCTGATAATTTTCTTTTTCTCCTCAGGTGTTTTCTTTACCTCAAGACCAGCCTCAGGAACAAGTACTAATATTTGGCTTAAACTCCTATTATAGTTTTCTTTGCATGTATCATTTATTGTTGAATAAATATCTTGTCCTACTTCTCTGAGTTTTTTCTTTGTGATTCTTTTTGTTGGAATTTTCTTCACTTTTGAAATGTTTGTGCTTATGTCCTGTAATATACCTCTGTTGCACTTTCTATTAAACTAGATTCTGGAAATGAACTTTGGTACTGTTGAATTAAAACGTCTACAAGTTTGACATGCAGTCAGGGAATGATTTCTCTTCCTCTTTCCATCTCTGGTTATTACTTTCTCTCCATCCCAGTTTGAAGTCGAGAAACGATCAAGATATTTCTCCTTGTCCTTCTTGTTCTTCCAGTCCCCAAATTTTGCATCTATTATCTTAGAAACCCTGTTGAATTCCTTTTGAGAGATATAGAAGCTTTTATAGTCTTTGAAATGTTCTTCGTACATTCGAAATCGTTGAGCGAGAACTCTTGCTCCATACTTTGCTTTCCCTTCGCCTGGAATTCTCTCTATGCTACAATTGAGCTTCGTTTCTCTGATAAAAACCCTTGCCCAAGCACATTCGACTTTTAGAGACATTATGTGTTTTAGTTAGGGCAATAATCGAAGACGATATCAAACTAGAAAACTAATTTAGAGCGCTATTTTGTCGTTGCTTCAACTCGAGAGATGGAAATATTAAGCACGCATGTTAGATTACGTTAGAAAAGGGTAATTTAGGCGGGAAAGATATCTATTGGTTGAATTCATACTCCAGAAARCTAACGCAATAGTGAAGACGAAGTCATTGTACAAGCGGTTTTTATTATTTTCCAAATGCAATTTTTAACTCTGATATGCACAGTGACATTATATTCAGTAAATCCAACAAAAAATCGTATGTTCAAATTGCGTAAAATGACAAAAATCATTGGTCAAACATACAAAATAGTATGGAAAAAGATACCTGAAATGTGTATTAAAACACTGTTTTTGTCCGCCATTTTGAGACCTTCGCATTCTAGATTTCTTATTGGTCAATGCAATCAACGAATACATATCTAATAGGGATGGGGTGAGTAATCGGAATTTTGAATCTCGACCCATGCCTCCTCAACCATAACACATCAAAATGGCGAACAAGTTTTGTACTAGTTGTGTTTGCGGTGAAATGGGGAGTACTTTAACATCACAAAAACGTCTCTAATTTACATGATTAGGAGAAAAAGAGTTGATCTTTACGAAATAGACTTTGAAGCTTGACTTTTTTGTGTATTCAATAAGCTGTGAGTAAATTTTGCCGATCGGTGGGCAGGAAATTACGATCTCCTTGATTAAAACAGTAATTGAGAACTGTTCACTTGCTAAATGACCACCAGAAGAGACTATTTTGTATACTTCATATCACAATGAGCAATTCTAACTT